AATCAGAATCTTAATTTTATTGATTTGAAATTGTTAATAGAGGAGGGGGTGAACTACACTAACCAATAAAAATATTACATTACTCACCGATACAGAAACTGAAAGTTAGTAAAAATTATAAAAACAATCAATATAATTCTTAATTTAAGTTAATTCATTTATCATAAGAAAAATAATTTATTGCATACTTATCATTGCGAAAATTTCAAAATCGACCTGTAGAGATAATAACTCAAATAACATTATGATCTCATATTCAAGTGAGTAAGAACAACGACTTTCTTTTTTTTCATTTTGCTTATTGGTCTTCCTAGAGATCTATAAGGGTGTTCTACTACATGTGAATCTAATATCTAAACTTGTCAACTAACCAGCCGTCTTCATACCTCATCCAGTATGAGAGTCAAAAATACTATCTATCGATACCTCATCCGGTATGAGGGTGAATCAAGCCGTTCTCATACCCCATCTGATATGAACGCCAAAAATATCATCCCTCGACACTCCGTCCGATATGATGATGAATCAAGCCATTCCCATACCACGTCCGGTATGAGTGCCAAAAATTTCATCACTCGATACCCCGTCCGGTACGAGATAACATTCACGGTAGAGTTCTCTATGTGTCTGGTTCGTCCACCATCTCTCAATATATCCAATAAGACAATCATTCATTAATTCACATAACCAAACAATTTCTATTTGTATATTAATTTCAAATTTCACAAATCAACCATAAATCATGTAAAATAAGCGATATATGCATCAAAAAAGCACAACTGAATCGTTTAACAATTTCAATATATTATTATGTATTTAAATCTGAAAAAATTAAATAATAAATTAAATATAACAAATAAATAAATAATCGATTCTGACTCTATTAGTGACCTGTAATTATTTTAAAATTTTTTAAATTTCACAAAATACCATATTATTGATTATTAATATTCAATTACATAATAGGGAATAAGGTGAAGAATTCTTACCCGAATCAGTATTCGAAACGTCAAACTTTCTAATGCACCTACTAGCAGTCCCCAGGTTTTTTGAATTTTTCTACGGAGATTAAAACATGTTTCACGTACCCAAAAATATTTAAAAAATTCAAAATCGGTGTTAAAAATCTTTTCTGGCTAATTTTGGAGTTCCGTCATGGTGTACCGTCGTGCTCCGGCGAGGCACCACCGCCCGTGGCGGTGGTTTGCTCGACCTTGCCGTTTCGGTCGATTTTGGTCAGTTTGGCACTTTATACATGTCTTTGCGAAAAACCACGTTAGGGGGCTTCTGTTAGCAAAAAAAATTAGAAAATAAAAATTTACTAGTGATGGAATTTTTCGGGTGCGGCGGCTCCGCCGAATCACATTCACAGTTGGAAATTTTTCTTCGATCAATCTGTAGAAAATATAACAGTGAACACAACAGTGAAAAAATTGTATGAAACGGGAAACAAAAAGGCGCTCATCGGAGGAGGTTGCAAGTTTTGCCCACGGCAGCTCCATCGAGCTTTACCCGTGATTTTCTACTCACCCATCGTTTGTTTTGCTCCGATATGGCCACAGGAGTGCTTGGAATCGAATTATGAGCAGACAGGAAATTTTTTATCTTTTTTGGCAGTCGGAAGTCGCTTTAGTGCGGCAGTGGTCGGCAGTCGACTCCCTTCTTCAGTGATTGGTTCTTCTTCTCCAACATGAGGTTGACAGCTAGGGTTGGGTTCAGTGTGATGCGAAATATTTATACACATCTCACGTTAATTTGAGTCGTTCATCGCGTTTGATCTCGACGGTTATATTGCGCCTAAGGAGGAAACGAATCTGTCGTTTATCGCGTTTGATTTCGACCGTTCGATTGTGCCTAAGGGAAAAACAGATCTAGATCATCCACGCGTGTGAGATCGCTTCTGGGTCGTCCAATCGTGGGGCACGCGGATCACCAGTGTGGCCTCCTGCGTGGCATCGAGTCAGTTTGTCTTGCCATGCAGGTTGCTTCGATTCGTCGAGGTTGCTAACTGAACGGTCTTACACGGTCAAATTTTTTTATTTGCATTCTGACTCCTATTTTTCTTTTTTTTTTTCAAAAACATAATCTGAATTCAAAATTTCATCAATTTTTCTCAAAATTCTTTTCAATATCATCTCTAATTTATTTTTTTCCAAAATATAACAAAAGTTTTATTAAATTAATTTATATAATATATTTTTTATGCATATTTAAATTAACAAAATTTATTTCAGACTAATTTTTTGTACCTGGATATTACATAATGATAAAAATAAACATTAAAATATACAAAAATCCCTTTATATATATATATAATTTGTCGGTAAAAAGTATATTGACTAAAAAGGAATCCTTGATCCACTAAAATATTTCTTTAAGGTTGGAGGCCCTACATGATCATAATTAATGGCTTTATAAATATAGTATATTTTAAACAAAAATAATTTATTTAGTAATAACTAACATAACATAAAATTTTATATTTTATTAATATATTATCAACTAACAATTGTTTAATTTATAATATTTAATTTAATAAAAATAAATACTTAATTTTAATTATATATTACTAAGATTATTAACTAACACATATATTTCTACATCATCATTTAGCCACAAATTACATACAATAATCGCATGTTATAATTACAGAACAATAAAACGATAATTAAACAAATAATATAATTTAATACTCGTCAATTAGAAAAGACAAAATCAAGACATTCATTCAAACTAATTAACTGATAGAGATAAAATGGTTAAGTAAACTAATAAGCGAGAAAATAATTAAAAACTAATGAATTAAAGTACATGTAGTAGCAATAAACAAATAAAGCAGTATAACAATTAATAAGCAGTGCAAATAAACTAAGATAATTATACTGATTAGTTACCGGCTCTATGGTAACTTGTATTTAATTAATTAAGGGTTGTCAATATTTAAAACTCGAGATTAATTAGGTGTCCTCAGTTGGCTAAAAATGGAAAAAAATCGAAACTTACCAGCAGGTAGAGTTTTCAATACACCGGCTCCATCATTCCTCCCTCGCGGTTGGGGTTTTCCTTTGGTTGCTCTGCATTAGATAACACGCCAGGAATTCAATGGTTCGAAAAATAGAAAGGAACAGGAAAGGGATTCGGGCTCACTGGAGGAGTTTTACGTCTCAGTGCGGCTGCTCGATCGATTTGCCCTCTGTTTATGGCTTTTCTTTTAGTTTTTCAATGCCGATAAGGTTTGGAGTTGCTTAGAATCATAAGACGAATCGAAAAGGAAAAAAACTCACATTCTGACCTTGGCGACGAGCTCTGATGCGACGGCA